GCCATCCTTTCCTCCAGACTCAGGCTCCTTTCCTCACGTTTCAGGGCCACCAAGGAATCCTGCCCATCCTTGGTGCCACCTTCCACCACCTCTTGAGCATCCCTGTGTTCAGGGAGCACCTGATCCTCTCTGGGGGTTTCTGTATCTTTCCCAGGAATTGTTTCCTTCCCTTTTCCACCCTTGGGCTTGGCTGTGCCTCGTGCCAGCCCAGCAGCAGCCTCGGTGCTGGATTCACGTTCTGCCTCTGGCACCCTGGAGACAAAGTGCTGTTCCTCACCCTTTCTCCTTGGAATTTCTTGGGAAGCCAGGGAAGGAAGGAGCTGCTTCTCTGCAGGTTTCTCTGGCTGAGCGCCGTCTCCTGGAATGCTGCCCTGCTTCGCTTTCTTCTTCTTGCTTTTCTTTTTCTGGGTAGGTTTTAGCTCAGTTTCGCTTGGTTTTTCCTGACCAACGGCACTTTCTATGCGAGGGGTTTCTCTTTCTGTGTGTTTGGCAGCTTTTTTCCCTGCAAGCTCATCTCCCACAGGAACACCAAGCTCAGGGGGTTCTGCAGGACCCATCCCTCCCTTCCCTGTGCCCACACTGACAGATTCCCTCAGGGCTCCTGGTGTCTCCTGGACCACGCTGGTCACTCCCTCTCCTTGCCCAGAAATCACCACTGCACCTTCTCCACCTGCCACAACTCCCTCTGCACTTACAAACTCTCTCCTCTTCCTCCTCCTCTCCTCATCATCCTCCTTGTGAAGCACCTCTGTGCCCTTCTCCAAGCCCTGTCTCTCAACTTTCTCTGTCCTTCCATCCATTTCTTCCCTCAATTCCTTGCCCTGGGCTGCTCTCACTTGGGAGATGCCTTTTGGGATCCCTTTTTCCACAGCCACTGCCTCTTCAGGGAGATACACTGTCCCCAACACTGAGGGGAGCTCTGGAGTCACCTCAGCCTTTGCCTGGGGGTGATGAAGATGATGATGATGATGTTCATCTTGGGGATGGACAGAACCCTCTGAAGCTTCCTGGGGTTTTAATTCCCTTTCTGTCCGTGCTTTGGGGGATTTCTCAGTGGCTGCAGCTGCACTCTGAGCTGTGTCATAGCTCACAGCTTCAGGGTGAGCTTTGGGCTCAGCACCACCAGACCTGGCAGGGAGGATGACACCTTCCTCTTTTGGAGACAGTTTTTCTATTTTTTCCTGCATTTTTTCCACTTTGAACACCTCAGAACCAACTTTCTCCTCGGACATTTGCACATCCCGAAGACCAGCAGCTGATTTTTGGCTAATCAGCCCTTTCCCAACAGCCTGAGCTGTGTCATAGCTCACAGCTTCGGGGTGAGCTTTGGGCTCAGCACCATCAGACCTGGCAGGGAGGATGACACCTTCCTCTTTTGGAGATAATTTTTCTATTTCTTCCTGCGAAACTTGCAATTTTTCTACTCTGAACACCTCAGAGCCAACTTTCTCCTTGGATATTTGCACGTCTTGAAGACCAGCAGCTAATTTTTGGCTAATCAATCCTTTCTCAACAGCTTCCTTCACAGTCAACCTTTTCCCACCGGGGGCATCCACGATTCCCCCAGCCCTGAGCTGGTTGCTGGCGATGACTTTGGCCATGGCCTCATCCAGCACGCCCTGCTCCACAGCTGCCCTCAGGGACAGCCTCTTGCTCACAGAGCCTTCCACCACGCCTCCAGCGTCTGCCTGTGCCTGCAGCAGCCTCAGGGCAGGCAGGGGGTCCACCCTGCCCAGCCTCACTGCCTGGGCACACGGCAGCTTGGTCCCTGTCGCCTCGTCCCTGATGGCCTGCAGGGGATGCACCTCCAGGTACCGCTGGCCGGATTCGATGTCGATTTTGCATTTCTTCAGGAACTCTGAGTAGGGGGTGATCTGGCAGCTCTCAGGGTCTACAATGCCTTCTCTCATTGCTGAAGATGACAGGGCTTTCTCCACCACCTGCTGGGGCACCAAGCCCTCCTGCACCGCCTCACTCAGCGCCAGCCGCTGGCCAGAAGATGGATGGAGGATGCTCCCACTCTCAGCCTGGATTTCCTGCACTTTCCTCTGGAATTCTGGGCTGAGGAGCCCCAGTGACACTGCCTGGGGCAAGGGCAGCTTCTCCTTTGTAGCTGGGTGCACAAAGCCCTGCAGGACCACGCTTTCAGCTTTCCTGAGCTCCTTGCACAGGTCTGGACTGATCAAACCGTGCTTCATGGCATTGTCCACCGACAGCCTCATCCCAGACACGTGGTGGATGATCCCTCCATCACCAACCTGCTTGGTCAAGAGCTGAAAGGCTTTTTCCTTCTCCAGGAGCCCCTTTTCCACAGCCTCTGCCACAGTCAAAGGCTGCTTGCTTGCAGGATCCACAATCCCACTGGTCTCAGCCTGCAAATCAATGAGCTTCTGCCTGGTCACCTCATCAGTGCCTTTCCCCTTGGAAGCCTTCTCCAGCTTGACCAGCTCTGCCTGGCTCGTTGGCTCTATGAGGCCCAGATTTGAAGCCAAAGTCACTGACACTTTCTTGCCACGTTTCAAGTCAACAATGCCCCCAGTGACCACCTGCCCTTCCAGGATCCTCATGGCTGTCTCCTTGTCCAGAAGGCCAACGGCAGCAGCGTCCTTGATGGAGTAGACAAAGTTGTTGCCCGGGTCAAGGACGCCACTTATGGCTTTGTCAGACGTGAGGACCTTCTGGAGCAGCTCCTCATCCATCAGACCTTCTTCAATCACGTCCTCAGTGGTCAGGGATTCACAGGCCCGAGGGTCAAAGAAGCCACTGAACATCTTCATCTTCTCCATGAGTTTCACAGCTGTGTGGCCGGACACCACCCCAGAGGCCACAGCCTCATCCAGCAGCAGGGTCCTGCCCGTCTGCTCGTGGGTGATGCCACCACTTTGGAGCTGCATCAGGAGCTTTTCCAAAGTGTCCTCTGCTTCCTGCTCCTCATGGGGTGGCAGGGGTGGCTCCTCAACGCCCTCATCACCCAGAACTTCTTCCTGCTCTCCTGTGTCCTCTGCTTCCTGCTCCTCATGGGGTGGCTCCTCAACGCCCTCATCACCCAAAACTTCCTCCTGCTCTCCTGTGTCCTCTGCTTCCCGCTCCTCATGGGGTGGCAGGGGTGGCTCCTCAACGCCCTCATCACCCAGAACTTCTTCCCACTCTCCTTCCTCCACCTTCAGCACAGTTTCCAGGTCCTTGCTTTGCCTCTCTGCTGGTGCTGCCTCCCCACGTGCAGGGAGCAGCACAACCTCCTCTCCTGCCAGCACACCATTTTCAACTGTCCCCTCCTTCAGCAAATAAACCCCTCTCACATCTCTCACATCTTCTGCCCCTCCTTCAGGCTCCCTCACACCCTGAGACCTCTCTGCCACCATTTTCAGTCTGTCTCTGCTTTCTGGAACGCCCATTGTTATGCAGATTTCACTTTTCACAACCACTACCCCACTTTCCAATGCCCTCTTCTGATATTCGGGACCTTCCACTGCATCTGCTGCAGGAGGCTTGGACTCCTCTGTCTCAATCATCATTTCCTCTGTTTCTCTGGTTAATCCACTACCAAGGTCACTGGGAGGTTCTGGCATCAATGATTTTACCTGATGTTTATCCCTGGTTATAAAAGTCACCTGTTCTTTTCCAAATTCAGCATCAGTTTCACTCCTGATGCTCTCCAGCTCAGTGGAAATCTGCTCCTGCTCTTCCACACGCAGGAAATCCTCTGCATCCTCCAAGAGGAGACTTTCAGGTCCCACCACCACCTCCCCATTCTCCAGAGCAGTTCTGGGTGGTAGGATCTTCTCACTTTCACCTTTTGAAGGAGCAAATTGAAGCTCAAGCTGCTGCAAAGCCAAACCATTGCAAGGTTTGCTTTCAAGAGCTGCCTCTGTCTCCTCAAAGCCTTCCAACACCTGTGCCTCTGCCTCCTCAAAGCCTTCCAACACCTGTGCACAGGATCCATTTTCCTGGCTTTGGATGAGAGCTTTAGTGAGATTCTTCAACTCTGCATCCACCAGGAGCACCTTCTGGCCATCGTGGATGTTGATGTAGCTGTGGGTCATCAGGTGGAACATCAGCCTTTCACCATCACTCCTCAGCAGAGTTTCCTCCTGACCCGTGGGGCTCCTTCCAGGAGAGCTCTGGCTCCTGCTTGGAGCTCCAGAGAGCTGCAGAGGTTCCTCCTGACCCATGGGGCTCCTTCCAGGGGAGCTCTGGCTCCTGCCTGGAGCTCCAGAGAGCTGCACGCTGTCCAGGACATCAGGGATGGCTGTTGCTTTCAGCTCCTTCACCACCTCCCTGTCCAGGATGCCCTGCTCCACTGCCCTCTGCCAGGACACCACCTCTGTGGTTTCTGGGATAAAAACAGCCTGCAGGCGCTGCCTCTTGCTCAGAGCCTCCTCCATCAACTCCGTGGAGAGCATCCCCTGCTCCAAAGCATCTGCAACGGGGATGACCTCCCCTGTCTCTGGCCACAGCAGCCCCATGAAGGACCACAGGGATTCCAGCACCAGCAGGGCTGTCCTTGGAGCCACCAAACCCCTCCTCAGGGCTTCATCCACGCTCAGCCTCTCTCCCGTGGTGGTGTCCACGATCCCACCGGTCTGCAGCTGCCGGATGAGGAGCGTGCAGGCCAAATCCTGCTCGATCAAATGGTGCCTGACAGCCTCATCCACGGTCAGCCTGTGCCCTGTCCTGGGGTCCACAATGCCACCAGCAAAGAGCTGGGCTTCCAGCAGCCTGGTGGTCACCTGCCTGTCTATGAGCCCCTCCTGGAGAGCACGGAAGATGCTGACCTCCCTGCCTGACCTCAGGCTCACCATGCCACCCGCCAGCTGCCTGACTGGAAGCAGCCTCAGCCCGGTCTCGTGGTGGGTGATGCACCTGTCCAGGAGCTCAGGCAGGCTGATCTTCTCAGCAGTGTTGGGGTCAATCAGATCCTTGCCACATTCCAGGTGAGACAGGAGCCTGGAGTGGAGCTGGGGGGGAAGGAGCCCTTCTTGCACTGCTGCCTCCATGCTGATCCTGCCCTGCTGGAATTTAAAGCCCCCGGTGAGGAGCTCAGCCTCAAGAATCTTCAGCCCAACGCTCTCACTGATCCTGCCCTCTTCTATGGCAGCAGCGACGGGGAGGAGCTGCCTCCCTTCACATCTGATCTCTTCCACCTGCTGGAGGGCATCCTTCAGTTCCTGCAGCACCTGGAACGCCCTGGGATCAATGATGTTTCTTGCCAGGGCTTCCTCCAAGGAGAGTTTCTCACTGGTCTCTGGGACAACTAAGTCAGAGGAGATCACCTGGGCCTCCAGGAGGACCAGGCCTGTGTCCTGATCTATCAGACCTCTCTGCATGGCACCAAACACAGGGAATATTTCTACCGTGCCAAGATCGATCACTCCTGCCACGGCTTCGCTGCCCTGGAAAAGAAAGAGAAGGAAAAGAATTAGATCAAAATTCAGCATTTCCAGCACTCATTGCATGAGTTTCAGGGAGGCCTCACTTAAAAAACAGAACAAAACAAAACAAAAAAAAATTAAAATCCCCAAACAGGCTAGAAAGTCCTAAAGTGTTTGCAATCTAGTCCATCACCAGGGCAGCACCAAGATGCTTCCAATATCCACCAGCAGCAATGCAGCAATGCAGCAAAGCAGCAAGCACCAAAACTCAGACTCATTCCTAATGCTCCACAGAAAAGAGGGCAGGAGACCAACAAGCACAACAAAGCCCTTCAACAACTCCACCTTTAAAAAGTAAAAACAACACAAATCCCACTCTTGGGGAAGAAAACCCCCCAGAACCACCCACTGTGGGGTAAAGAGGAACCTTCCCCAGCACAGCCTCCATGCTGATCCCTGCCATGCTGAGAATCCTGCACTTCCCAAGCAAACCCCAAGTGCCAGGATGGGTGGGGAACACCACAGAGCCCCGTGGCATGGAGCAGCTCCCAGCCATGCATCAGGGCAGGAGCAGTACAGCTCCCCAGGCACCACCACGGCCCCACTGCAGCACCTCCAAGCTGCTCCTCAGACAGGGCCAGGGGAGAAATGGAACAAGCTGGAGGTTCCAGCATGAACAGGGACAAACTGGGACCACACCAGCTGCTGTGGTGGCTTTTCTTGCTGCTATCCCCACAGGGGAGGGTGATAATTTAGGTGATAAAGTGTCTTTGTTCAAAGGCTCTTTGGACGTTTGGGTTTCTCCCAGTGCCACTGGTTGGGTATAAGGCTGGCCCAAGCACCCCAAGATTTTTGTGGGGATAGCAAGGAGGGAATCAGGACTATGGAATGAACTCCTTTTGCATCCCAACACCCTGCTGTGGGGACAGGAGGAACCTTCTGGGACAACCTCAGCTCTCCACCACCACGGCCAGGCCCTGACGTGCAAACTCAGAGACGTGGAAAGACAGAGAAAGAAGGAAAAGGGGGGAAAAACAAAAGAGAAAGATCGAAAAAGGAGATGGATGGGAGGGAGGGGAGTAAAAGGCTTTTACTTACCGACTTGCAGGGTGTGCCTTGAGCAGTTAAAGACAGAGCCTTATGGAGCAGTTCAGCCGTATCACACACAGTGTAAAGCTTGGGGTTAGCGTCCAGCATGCGACTGTTTTGTTTTGCAAAAAGAACCCCACACACAGGTCCGTCCTCTTTCCCTTCTGTGTGTTTTGTTTTTGTTTGTTTAAATCCCAGGGGGGTTAGTTAAACTTGTAAGCAAGGATGTCAGTTAATCTTAAAAACAGTTGACATGAAACACAAACCATACAGGGACACATCATGCTCAATTTAGCGCGCTCTGCTTTGCTTTCTTTTTTTTTTTTGGTCTTTTGTAACTTCTTTCTGACAGTTGGATGTTTCCAGCAAGCAAATGTTAAAGAGTTCTTCATGCTCCCTCTACAGTGAAGCAACAGCTCCGCAGCAGAGCTGCAGGGATGGTTTTGCAGACGGGGATTTGAGGTGAAGCCCCACTGCCATCTCTTGTTTTGCTGCCTGGCCTTCATCGAGTCTGTGAGTGAAAACTGTTCCAGCCCCAAAGCAGCTCCATGCTGTACCAAAACAGCTTGGCAAGCCCTGGAGAAAGCTTTTGCTCTAAAATAATTTTCCTGATCAAAAGGGAGGAAAAGGGAAAGGAAAAAAAAAAACATCCATTCCACAGGGAGGCTGCACCAAATCCGTGATGGCTTAACAAAATTATTTGTTCACCTTTCTGCTGCCAGCACAAGGGCTAAAGGGCTTGCAATAAAATAAATAATTTCCTGCTCTGAAACACCTGGAATGTGCTGTAAAGTCCAGTTTGGAGCAAAACACTGCATTTTTAGGCGAAAGCTGGACATAAAGATCTCAAAAAAAGCAGCTCTGCCACCTTCTCCCCATGAGTGGCTTGAACAGGGCTTCACTCACAGACCTGAGAGCCAAAACCTGCATCTCACAGCCAGATGTGAGCAGGCTGTTGCTTCAGGGTACAGGGAGCCAGCAAGCAAACACACAAAAATATCCATTGACACATGAATATACACTGAAAGAACAGGCACACGTAAATCTGTGAATGACAGCTGGAACAGAGGCAATAAGGATGCGCTCCCAGCCCTCCCTGCAAGGATGGGGCTGGTGGATGTGCACAGGGAACAGGTCCTGAAGGTCCCCCAGGTCAGATGAGGGGCTGGATAATGTAATTGCCTTCCACAAGGAAGAGAAAAACCCTTGGCCAGACCCTGAGGCCGCGTCAGTCCCACCTTCCTGCAGTGGGGCTGAGCCCTGTGAGCTCACAGGACACAGATTTCCTCATAGGGACATTTCCAGGGCAGAATGCCATCTGCCACCCTGCTCACCAAGCACGAGTGAGCCTCGTGCAGGGGACAGAGCCCTGATGGCAACCAGAGCACAGCTCCCACAACAGCTCCTGCTTGGCCTCCAGGCACCACCAGATGCTTTGGGTGGCCATGAACAGGAGAAAAGGCTCCTGCAAGAGGCTGTGAGTGGCCAGAGGCCAGAGAAACACGACAAAATGAAACCTTTTGCACAGCCTGAGGAGTGGGCAGGGCTGAGCATGGAGCTCAAGCAGTACCTTGTGCTCTGTCTGCTGAGCCAGCTGGCTCTGGAGCTGCTGGAGCTGCTCCGTGGAGTTGCTGCAGAGAGCCTGGTAGGTTTCCTTCAGAGCACCAATCTGAGCAGAAATCTGGTCCTTTTCTGATTGGGAAAGCCTGCAAAGGGGAAGGGGAAATATCTCAGGGTGCTGGTCAAACCAGCTCCACAGAATTACCACATCCTTCCAAGCACAGGAAAAGGCCAAATCCACCATGAGTCCCTTCCTCTCCCTGCCCAGCTCAGCTAAAACCTGCCAGGAGAACCAACCTGCATTGTAACAACCAAATCCTCAAATATATGTGTCTGCATCTCAGCTAAAGAGGGTTAATATTGCCCCACAGCATAAATGAGTGCAAATTTCACAGATCTCATTGCACATTTCACAGATCTCATTGCAATAAAGAAAACTGTGGCGTGCAGCTCATTGTTTTTAACTGGAGTCAGGCACTGGATCCCATGGATCCACAGCTCTAAGGAATCTCATTCCAGCCCCTGTTCCATCCCTGGTCACACTCACTTGTGGCTGTGTTTTGCCAGGAAGATTTGGGAAGTTTTGATGGCCTCAGAGACCTGCTCCTTCTTTGCAGTCAGCTCCTCATTCAGGGCCTGGAAAAAAAATGTAAAAGTGAAAGAAAGCAGCTTAATTTAAGCAGCTGTGCAAAAAAGAGCAGAAGTTAAACCTCAGGGCCTGGTGTCAGCCCTGCTTTACCTGCTGCTCTGAAATGGATTTCTCGATGTCTCCCAGCTCTCTGCTGCCAGCAGCAGCTGCCCTGCCCTGCACACTCTGCTTCAAGCCCAGGGCCCAGCCCAGGAGCTCCTTCACCTTGTCCACGTGCTCCTGCTTCTCCTCCTCCACCACTTTCTGCAAACAGAGCAGGGAGGAGGAAGACAACCATGTCAAAAGGGAGCTCCAGAGGGGGAGGAAGGGGAGATGCTGCTCCCTCAGCACGGAGCAGCATGCTTGGGGATGGAGGGGATGTGAGGGATGGAGGGGATGTGGGGGATGGAGGGGATGTGGGGGATGTGGGGACAGGTCCAGGGGTGCCCCATGGCCTCACCTCCTCCTCCTCCAGGCGCCGCAGAGCGTCACTGATGTACTTCACGTGCTGGGTGGTCAGAGTGACCAGGGCTGTGTAACGAGTCCTCAAATCCATGAACTGCCAATGGGAAAAAAACAGAGGGAAACGAGGGTGCATCAGTCCTGCTGGCAGATCCAGCGTCACCCTTCACAGGACATGACATGGATGAGGCACCTCTGGCTCGGGAACCCCCCCAGGGCACCTCTGGCAGAGCTGGGATGGCACCAATGGAATGCAGCCAGTCTGCTGGGGAGGGTGGTGGTGGTGGCCACACAAGGCATGCTGCACGACACGGGAGCGAGGGGACACTCCTGCCACGGACACTGGGGCGGGTGCTGGACTCTCACAGAGGGCTGCTGGGATCTCTGATGTATCCACACAGAGCACACAGGAGCTCGGCTCCCTACAGGGTTTTCATCCCCAAGATGCACACACAGCAACACTGCATGGTGCTCTGGTTTATTTACCTCGAGCAAGGCTGGAGGGCTGAGCCGACCCTGCTGGATTTGACCCAGGGGTTCCCAGGAGGCAAGGTATGGCATACCTGGTGCTTAGGGCACTAAGCCATCCTCTCTGGCTATTGGAAAAAACAGCGAGGGTGGAAACTTTATTTATACAAGAGAGTTGAGCAGGAAGGAGCTCATTTTCACAGAGGCTGCTGGGTGGTTTTGCTGGGCGTGGAAGAAGCCCCCAGAATGTCCCCCTGCTGAGCTGAGGTGGGTTCCTACCTCCTGGGTGATGGCATCTGAGGAGGAGAGCATCCGCCGGCGCTTCATGGGCGACTTCTGCTGCGACTCCACGAAGGCCCTGTAGGTCATCAGCTGCAGCTCATAGTCCTGGAAAGGTGGGGAGATGTGGAGCCTGTGAGATCTGCAAACTCTGCCAGGGCTGCCCCAGCCCAGCCCAGCCCAGACAGGAGCTGTACCTTGACAGCAGCCGAGTATTGCTGGGAGAATTTCTGACACTGGTCCAGCTTGGCTTGGTTCTTCTCAATTTCTGCAGCCAAAGCCTTCAAGGGAATTCAAAGCAAAAATGGTTGTCAGAATAGATTAGCTGAGTTGTTGCCCAGAGAAGCTGTGGATGCCACGACCCTGGAAGAGTTCAGGGTCAGGTTGGAGCAACCTGGAATAGTGGAAGGTGTCCCTGTTCACAACAGGAGGATGGAAACAAGCTGATCTTGGAGATCCTTTCCAACCCAACCTTTCTGGGATTCTATGACAGCAGCCATGGGGACATGAGCAAAATTCTGGTTCACATCACTGCACTTTTGGTTAAAATCTTTACACTCTCCAATTTTTCACGCAAGACCTGATCTGCACCTCGAGCCAAGCAGAGCTCCTCCACTTCCCAGACACCCAGCTCAGGCCTGCAGCCTCTTCCCTGCTGCTTCTCATATTCCCAAGCTCAGAGAATGACAAGAAGTGACACGGCCGGGGCAGCAAGCAGACATCACGAGCTCCTGCCTCACCGTTTGCTGGCTGAGCTGCTCCGACAGCACCCGGCTGTCCTCAGCCTGGCCGGGCTTCATCAGCTCCTGCTGGGCTGTGATCTCCTCAATCCACTGGATCAGGGCGCTGTGGCACTGCCGGTAATCGCTCAGCACCTCCTGGATGCTCTCCAGCTCCGTGTGGCTGAGAGAAAAACACCACAGGTAAGAGGAGAAGAGAGGGTGAAATGCTGCCAAGGTGAAATCCCAGCCAGAAAAATTTCCCCTGCACCAACCAATGCTGACCCGAGGTGTCAGCTGAAGGGTGATGGTAAAGGTGGCAGGAAAGGAAGGAGGTTTCTCACCGGGTCTCAATTTGGGCGCAGACTCGCTGCCAGCGGTCCCACAGCTGGCTGCCCTTCTCCTGGAAGCGCTCCAGGTCGATGCTGCGCTCCTGCCTCAGCCTGAAGAGCTGCTCCCCCACCTCCTTCGCCCTCGCCATCTCCTCCTCCAGCCTGGAGAACACGGAGCCCTTGTCCTTCACCTCGCCGAGCCATTGCTGCAAAAGGAGGCAGCACCGGGTCAGTGTCACCGAAAGCAGAAGGGACCAAGGCAGGGATGTCCTCCCAGACAGAGGTGACACAGCTGGGAAGGGGTTAATGGGTTTGTTTTCCCCTTCTCCTTAAGCTGCAAAGAACTGGGAGGTGTAGAATGAAGGGAAACACGCTCCCAGGTCAGATTGCACACAAAACACAAACCACAGCAGCTCCTCTACACTCACAAAGCAATCAGGGCTCTCACATCAGCAGCACAAAACCCTCTAAAAATGTACCAAGGCAAGAAAAACGTCCCACAGTCCAAATGCAGCAGAAAAAAGGAGAGACACTGCTCCTAGTCCTAAACACATCCATGCTCTTAACCCTAACAACCCTCTCCACCCCCATCCTATTTCCACCTCAAGAACACCCCCAACACAATGACAGTCAAAACCTTCTTCATCACCAACCTGCAGGGCCGCCCTGTGGGTGTGAATGGCTGCCAGGTCAGCAGGAACAGCCTCCTCCTGGCTCAGCTTCACCTCGTAGCCCTTGACCAGGGATTCTGCTCCCTGGGTGCTGCGGATAATGATGTCAACCGTCTTCAACCTGGTGAAATCAAACAGAGCACAGTGACATCCCAGGCGTGGCACAGATCTGGAAGGGGATGCATTCAGTTACACCCACCACAAGGTGTGTTGGTAAGACAGGATAAGGCCTTTAGTGAACTGGGAACACTCAAAAGGGTGTTTGGGAACAGAGGCACATCCCCAACTCACTTTTCCAGGTAGATGGAAGACAGCCCATGGGTCTGCTCCATCTTGTTCACCACCAGGTCCAGCTCTGAGCGCAGCTGGGGCGTGCTGGGCCCGGCAGGAGCTTTGTCCAGGAAGCTGTAGCACCTCTCAGACACAACCCTGAGCTCCGACTGCAGCTGCTGCAGATCCTCCTGCGTGCGCTGCAGGGCNTGAAAGGTTCCTGTGATCCTCACTGGCCAGCAGGATCACAAGAGAGAAAACCCATCTCCAGCTTTGAAAGGCTCCTATGGTCCCAACTGGCCAGGAAGACCACAAGAGAGAAAACCCAGATCCAGACAGAAGTCTCAGATCTCCAAAAACTACAAGCCACCAAAGCAATTATTCACAGATAAAGGCAGGAGAAGGCCTGGGGGCAGCTCCCCCCATCAGCCTGAGCACAGGCAGGAGGTTTGGCCCAGCATCTCCTCACCTGCATCTCCTCCACCCAGGCCAGCAGCTCGTAGACGAAGCGAAGGCTGCCTTCATCTTCAGAGGAGGAGATGGCCACCAGCTCCGTCCTGGTCATGGGCTTCCTGAACCAGGAGGCCGAGGAGGTGTGGAGCCCCTTGGTCAGGGACTCGCCCTTGGGGTGTGTGGTGCTCAGCGTGGACGTGGGCACCAGCTCCAGGGTGGAGAAATGGCCCTTCCTGTACAGGTTGGTGCACTCCAACCTCAGCGTCACCAGCTCGTCCTTCAGCCTCATGGTCCTGGGGGAGCAAAAAAGGAGTGGGTAAGGATGGGAATGTGTCACAGAGTGACAAAACTATCCTTGGTCTCCAAAAAAAGGAAAAAAAAACCCAGAAGTTTCTCTCCTTGATTAGGTAAAGACACCTCACAGGACCTGGGGGACTTCACCTCAAACTTAAGGATGGCCAATTAGACAGAAGGCAAAAAGTTCCACCTAAGCAATTTACTAGAAAAAGAGAAGAAATAAACTAATTGCTTTTAGAGAACAAAGAAACTAATGGCTTTTGTGAGGTGTTTTACCAGGAGCAAGAACCTCTTGCACCTGGCTCGGTTTTTCTCTGTGAAGAGTTTGGTTATTTTGCCTTTTATTAAAACTTTTCTGTTTTCAACACTCCCACAGAAGCCATCCTGCTGATTTTATACGTTCTAAGGTAGCTGAGCTATCTTGGTGCAATATAAATCTCAAGAGCTTATGAGACCTAGCTGGAGGTGACCATATATCAGGTAAGGAGATGGACATGTGAATCACCATATTTTCTGAAAAATCCCTTTGCCAGGATTTTCCTCCTGAGAAGCTGAGAAACCCCAGAAAAAAAA